TCAGAAACAACGAGTTAAGTAATCCATACGAAAGCAAGCATTATGACAGTGAAGAGTATGTGTTGTGAATGTGTTTTGATATTTTGTGTCCGTCTTTGGCTGTCAATTGTATTTGTGTACTTGGCAGGCCTGGGTCTCAGCTGCTATTGGATCAATTCTTGGTGACAATGCTGAGTTCAATGAGTCCCAAATGGTCAAGATCAGAGAGACATTGTTTTTGCCATCAAGTGCTTTGGATCGTGGCCTTTCAGATGGACCAAAACTTGAGAATGCGCGGCTTGTTTGCGATTTGGACTAGAATCAATAGATAATGAGCGATAAGTGATGACTGTGCCACTGTGTCACAATGTTCTTTGAGAACAAACTTCAACAAACTCACACTCACTCACACTGTGATATTAATTGTAAAGTATTAGTTATCAAGCTTTGCAGATCAAAACATTATGACATAATGTTTTATTTGAATAAATTGTAAGTCTACTTGGTTTTAGTTCCAGAAACTGTCACAGGTATGGCAAGTTTGCAGACTTCTTCTTCTTTTGCAAGGATAAGTTGCAGGATGAGAAGGTGATGAGGCTGCAGGGCAAGTCTTTGGGGCAGCTCATTCTCAAGATCTTTGGGAGTAAAGATCATTCGCAACGGTCTTTGATTCGAGCCTTCTTGCCATCTTCTTTGACCCGCACAGAAATCAATGCTGGTGTGTTGAGCGGAGGGTTGGCAACATGTCTTCACTATTTGCAAGACTTGGCATGGGAGCAGAACTTGTCGCAAATCGCTGATTCCAAGGAGTTGAAACACGTATTCACAAATGAAGAGGCCTTGGGATGGCACAAACCACTCCAGAGAATCCCTACTATGACCTCATTCAAGAAGCTTGTGCATTCTTCTCTTGAGATATTGAGCGTCAAGCAATTGGATGAGGCAGCGCGGGAGAAAGCCTCAACTTTGCAATCAACTGCTCGCTTTCTGGGCGAGGAACTTGCCCAGATGAAGACAACGCTGGAGAGTGACTCCACTGAGGTGGTCGTAAGCTATAAGTCTCTTTTTGATTGTGTCCGCAAAGCTGCTGAGTTGCAGAAGTTAGCTGCCTCATTGCCTTCAAGCGACCAAAGTGAGTTTCTGAAGACTCGTTCTGATTTGCTGACCTTCGTTCAGCAGGACCTGACACCAAATGTTTGTTCAAAGTTTACTTTATGATGTTTGGCGGTTATGTTATGTTGTTGTATGTTGTTGTATTTTTCTTTCACAAACTATGACACATACTCACAGTTTGTCTAGAGTCTAGTCTAGACTATAGACTCTAGACTCTAGACTTTTTTTTCAGGACGCCTTTGTGCAATTGGAGACCTATATGAGACAGATGTTTGCAACAACGGTCAAGGGATTATCGCAAAAGGAAAACATCAACTATAGCGATTTGCATAGTGACTTCGTGAGCTTTTGCGACAGTGTGAAGGGGAATGAAACATGTTGTGGAAAGTATGATCATCATGTTGGACAATTGACTTTTCCTTTGAGATCACTGATGGCATACATTGCTGATGTGGCTGTCTTCTTGCGCTTAAAGGATTCAGATTCAGACTCCAGCTTGGAGAAGGCTTTGTCTCTCCTGGACTACGCGTCAGCCGTCTTTGACATTGGCAAATGCAACCAATACTTGGGTGAGTCAGCGAACTCAATTAGGATACTTTGACTGACTATTATTTATACTGCCACTGCTGCTGCTGCTACCACAACTCTATGACTACGACTACAACTGCTGCTACTGCTGCTGCTAGTCGTCGATATTGTTTTCTAGGCCACTTGTAGAATAGTTTGCCGCGTCCGAATCCAAGGAACATTGTATCGACCACGGCTACATCTGTGGTGGGAAGGGTTCTTAAACCTGAGTCTGGCATCATGCCACCTGCACTGGACCAAGAGGCGTTGGCCGCAATCAAGCCATGGATACCTACCCAGAAGGACTTCAGACTTCAGACTCGACTCGCATGAGTCAAATGAGCCATGAGTACATGAGCTTCTTTCTAACTGTCAACTTAGCTGAAATTTTGGACACAATGAGCTATAATCTATCAAATTTCAATGTTTAATTCCTACTGATTGGCAGGACGGGGAGAGTGAGGCGCAGAAGGAAGTCAGAACTTTGTTTCAGATGTACTTGGACAAAACACGTTCAACTCCATCAGGTGAAGAGACTACTGCACCTGTCAGCAAGGAGTTGGTTGAGGCTGTCAATGCCATGCGGCAATTGGATGTTGGGGAACATATGCTGACCAGACTTATGGAAGCATCGTTAGACAAAGTGAGAGATGAAGTGTCCAAGCAAAAGGGGCTTCACACTGCTTACGCTGCACTTCAAAGTGCAGTCCTCAAGCATCAAGGCCTGAACGACAGTCAGAATCCAAATCCAGTGTTCGAAGAGGCAACATCAATGCTTCAGGCTGGAAAGATTTTGCTAGCCTGTCAATCAGGCATCAGCGTTCTGAAATCAAAAACGTCCAGCAAAGCCAAGGGGTTCCAAGAAAAGCTAGGCCTGAGAGAGATCAGTATGCAGCAGCTGCCTGTCAGTTTGCAAGAAGCTGTACAGCGGCTCATCGCCGGGCATGATGAGACTGCACAATGATTCAAGAGTGCAGAGAAGATCAGTGTTTGCGTCACATTCAGTGATGTACAGCTTTGCAAAGAGTTAGTCAAAGTTAGTGGCCATGCTGGCAATGACAATGTTGTGTTGAGCTTGGATGCTGATGCCTGAGTCAGCTTCAGTCAGCTCCGTCAGTTTATAGGAAGCAACGCAAAGCAAATGATATAGCGGACCTTCCTGGACCTTCCTTGTTTTCATTTCATTTATTGTTGAAAGACATGTTTGTTGATTTTTTGTTTTCGATGGCTGAAGGCTGCAGGGATCAGGAACCTTGCTGGATACAGTCTGAGCCAGATTGAGTCGGGATTCTTGTTGAAGTAGGATAGCTTATAGCAGGAGCAATGTTTCCTTGGACTGTTGACGGCCACTAGAATACTTTGACTTAGAGGCACAGCTGTCAGCCACCACTTGTGCTTTTGGGGTGCCAGCACTAGGTCGGTGGCCAGCCCAAATTCAACAACTTTCAAGCACATTGCATTGCACGCCAAAGACCAACAGCCTGCCGCCAAATGAATGCGGGCTGCAAAACAAGAACATAAGTGACACAAAAATCAGCGAAAACAATGAACATGTGCTCAACATTGCATCAGTTGGTCAGATAAAGAATTGCTTGAAGACTTTGGGGTGTCAGTTCACCAATGGTTGCTGTTGTTGTGTTGAGAAAGGCTCGCGGCTCAAAACAATATAAAATTATAGAATCAATAGAATCTATAAATGCAAAGCAGTGCAGTGCACACACAAACTCAAAACATAAATTTGTACTGTACTGTGTCACATAAGCACATACACAGGAGTGGGCCATTAGCATCATTGAATCATTGACTCATTGGACACCACCACTGTACTACTAGTACTACTAGTGTCATGACCACTGGCCATGGGGGTGGCGATTGGAATGACTCCGATTCAGACACATGTGATGACCCTTTGGAGGCCTTTGCCTGATCAATGACCTCAATGCTGTCAATGCCTGTCTACAGTGTTTTTCTTGTTTAAAGCCACGTATGAATCAATGAGGTAAATAAATGTAGTGGATATGACAAGTGGTTGGTTGTGGCACAGGCAATTCAAGTTTCAGCAGCGGCAACGGGCTTGGCTTCAACCCATGCAGCTTTACCTCCTCAAGCAGCAGTCCACACTCAGGCGACCAAAGAACGTGTGTGGCTGTGGTGAAACTTAGAAACGTGTGTGGCTGTGGTGAAACTTAGAAACGACGACATAAATTCAAAAAAACTTGAGTCTTGAGGCGCTTAGACTCTTGACTCTTGACTCTTGTAGTTGGTTGTTTGTTGGAATGGAGTGAAGCGGTGTCAATGCTAGCAGCAGCTCCGCAGGCGTGTCAAGTTCCAATGGCAGACCATGCTTTGGCTTCAGCTTCTGCAGCTTTATCTCCTCAGGCAGTAGTCCACACTCAGGCAGGCAGATGATGAATCATTCTGGGTTGGGTGAAACTAAGGTCATTGACTCATTGTCAAACTTTGTGTTTGTAACTTGAGGCTGGTTGCAGGTGGTTGATGTGATTTATTTAATGAAAACAGTGTACCAAGTTACCAAGGTGTTACTGAGACTGTGACATGTTTCATGCCACCACGTTTGAGTGCCATATGCGCGTGAGTCAACCGACGAGGCTCAGTCTGAGTCTGATGAAGAAGAAGACCCTCTCGACAAGGCCATCAACACTCACAGATTGCCGATTGCACTGGGGCTCACAGGGGTGAGATTTTTAGTTTTTGTGTTTTGCAATCACAATTTACAAATGACTCGCTCATATGATGTCTTGAGTCCTTGGTTCCTGCAGTTGTATTGCTCGTGTAGCAAGTACAACAATGACAATGCCAATGTTCATGTAAGTAAGAACTTTTGCCTTTACCGTTTGAGCTCTGGACTCTGACTCTGACTGTGTTTGACTGCGATGCAGGCATTTACAGGTTCAATAGCAGCAAATCATTCTGCCTCAGCTTCTGGACCTGTACATCCGCCAGCAGAAGCAGTAGTCCAAATTGAGGCGGATGACAAATGTATGGTGACACCAAATGTTGAACTTGAAGTTTGTGAAAACGAATAACAACAACAATTTCAAGTGTTCAGTTCAGTGTTTCTGATATGATATATATATATTATATGATTGATCAACAATTATTGATTGTATGCTGCTAGTCTAGTGTTTGGCCAGGTTGGCATTCACCCACTGGATGACCATCACCTCGGGTGTGGAGGCAAGTCAAAGGAGTCTGAGTCAGATTCAGAAGACGATCCTCTCAATTGCGTCAGTGTCAGTCTCAGGGCTAGTCAGGAGGAAGCTGCGACAGATACAGCTCCTACAGATGCATCAATGACTCTGCAAATCACTGATGAAAAAATGAACGATCTTCAGTCATCTTTGTCAGCTTTGGTGCCCTGGGTGAGCAGGCAACGAGGCCAAAGATTGAAACGGAAGTTGGAATGCCTATACGAGAGTGGATTCAAGCTTGAGGCATTTCAGGTTCCATCTGACGACTCTGAATCTGACTCAGATGCACCAGACCATCGATACTACTCTCACAACTTTGATTTTGCCAGCTTTGTTGACTCCCAGCTGGTCTTGACTCAGCTGACAGTTGGTTGGTTGCAATGCGTTGCATTTTCAGCGCAGGTAGCATTTTCACAAAGATTGAAAACACCTGAGGCTGAGACGTCTACCAAAGGAGAGAGAATTGCAGCTACAGGGTGCCAATGGGTTGCCATTGTCTTGGATGTGCTGAGGGAGCACCTCCTGAACAAAAGGCACCCTTCGTCGTACGGTAGTGATTGCTCAGGGTTAGATGCGCCGTGGTGGGCCCTGCGTGAGCTTTTCATGGGAATGAAGGCCTGGCCTGGATCATCAATTGTTCATGATGAATTCTGGCTGGCTGAATTCTGACTGAACTTTTCCTTTGGGAAGGCAGCTGATGTTGAAATGAAAGACCTGATCTATGATTTTGCGTCTGAAGCGCCAGGCACGTGACAGTGAATCATGTTTTTGTTGTTTATGTTTTGGTGTGATGTCTTTAGGCCAAGAAGGCATTTGGCAAAAGAGGATGCTGTTGTTGAACGCCACACCAAGTGGCCCGAATATCATTTTCAACGACATGTTTGCCTTGTGCCCAGCTGTGACTTACAGTGATGCTATATGCTTACTATTACTACACTACACTACACTATACTGTACTATATACTTCAGCAGCAACCAACACATTGGGCGGTTGAGGCAAGAGATCATTCACAAGACACTGGACCAGACTGGATTTCAGGTGCGGATCCAAGATTGCTCAATGAGGCTCAAGGTGTTTGTTTGAGTTAGTGAAGCGGCAAGCGTATTTTTCATGATATGACTGACCCAGGTCAGGTAGTCAATATACCGGAAGTCGATTGGTATACTGGTGGCTTTGAATGCCAGGCGACATTCCTGCTGTGAGATTCCGGGCTGCGTGTGATTTAGATGATACGGCTTTGCGCTTCCATTCACCAGGATCTAAGCACTTTGAATGTGGCTAGAAAGGAATTGACATTGGACATTGATGAGCAGTGACAGCCTCAGCTGACCTAAGTCTTTTTTTAGATAGCAACGTGGGCCACCCTGGGCACATTTCTAACGACGCAATTCAATTTCAAACAAAGACAGCAAATACATTAATCATTAATGCATACTATTACTGGTCCATCATTCAAAATCAAAACGTTTTATTGTCGGCTTCAGGTCTGGCATGAGCAGCAAGACTTTAGTGAAATCCTTGGAGTATGTGCAGGAAAAAAAACCAGCGGGGCCCACAGAATACTTTGGTTACTGGTAAGTATGGTTGCTTTGGTCATTGAAGTCACTGGCCATTGTCTGATCTGACAGTCTGGTTTGGTGCTGATTGCATCCTGAAGTCATGAGTCATCATTTTATTTAATTATCATAATCTTAGAATCTTAGTTCAAGATCATTCTTTGGTTGTCACGCCTGCCTCATTTGGCCTAAGGCCTATATCATCATCGAAAATGTCGCGAGAAAGAACACAGCTGACACTGTCCTGTCAGCCTTGCGTCGAATTGGCTATGAATGCGTCGCCGTATTCACGAACAGCGCCAGCTTTGGGGTGCCGCAATCACGCACCCGCTTGTACATAGCAGGGGTTTGGCCGGCCAAGGTGAAAATAATCCATGGTCCAGAACAATGGATTCAGTGGTTGGAGGACTGCCACTGTCACAGTCCATGCAGGCACAAACGACAAGACCAGGGCTTGGATTCCTTCTCCTCCTCCATTACAACTTAACTAACTACTACTACTACTACTACTACTACTACTACTACTACTACTACTACTATGCCACTATGCCTATGTCTGTGCAGGATACCACAGGGGGAATAGGATAGTTATCTTATAGTCATTTAGGTAGTTAGATTAAGTATATTTTTTTCGAGACCGAACCAGGTTCGCTAGGATCGAGTTCGGTTTGTGAGGCCGGAAAGAGCCTTTTCGGAAAGGGTGATGAGCAATGTTGCCTAAGAATCTGTTTCACAATCTCTTTCCGCGTATCTTGATCTATATACAAACAATTATTTTCAGTAAATGGGGGGGGGAGCGGGGGCTGGGGACAGTTTCGTTTTACTCGGTGGGATTGAGTTGCAGATCATCAACCAGGTGGGAAAGGAAAAATAATAACATAAGGAGTTAGTACATGGAAACAACATATTGTGACAGCTCGGTTGCTCAATAAAGGTGATAAAATCAATGTGGTATCAATAGCGACCTGAAAAGAATCATTCTCGTGCAGTCAAGGTCCTGTTCTGCCGTTAAGGTCTCTTTCTCAACATGTCGCTGGATAAACCATTTATGGGTGTAGCCTCACACTGTGACTGAAATGTCTTTGAACCCATGTCAAAACAATTCCAAATGGTCCAAATTGGTATCCTACTGAACGACGAATACATTCAGCCGAAACAAAGGAATTGGCAAACAAGGTTGCACACATCAAATTCGTATTGCGCTGCATTTCATGACACACAGTTGCCGTTCCCTGCGTGAGTGCAACGATGAATTCAGAAGTGTGGAGCGATGCTTGCTGTTGTGGCAGCTGATGCAGCAAAACGGATTCGTGTTCCCATATCCAAAATTCTAAACCTTGATATCGACTATTCTTTTTGGGCCAAGGTAAGACGGTCGTGGGGTTGCCTGGTGCGAGAATCCAATGGACCGGTGGTCTGGTGGTCTGCTAACCCGATGATCCGATAGTCCGATGATCCAATGGTCTGCTGACGATCCGATGGTCCGATGATGCGATGATCTGAAGGTCTGCTGATCCGGTGGTCCGATGGTCTGCTGATCCGATGATCCGATGTTCCGATGGTCAGGTGACCCGATGGTCTGCTGAGTCGACGATACGATATATAGTCCGTTGATCCGATGGTCTGCTGATCCGATGACCATGGTCTGATCCGATGATCCGACGGTCTGCTGAGCCAGGAATGATCCGTTCCAATGATTTGCTGAGCCGATGGCCCGATGATCCGATGGTCTGCTGGTCCGATGATGATCCGTTGCATGGTCAAATGATCCAATGGTCTGCTGACCAATGATCCGATGGTCTGCTGATCCGATGATCCGATGGTCA